CCCCCTCCAACATTTGTGATTTTGTTTTAATTTAAACTAGCAATCTAATAAAAATATTATAAAGTACCACTTCATTAAATTTAATCTATGTAAATCGGGCACATAGCGAAAGCGAAAATAGCACGCATTTCCACAAAAGATGAGTGCATTAAAATCATGTGTGACTTCAGCATCTAAAAAAATCACTTGTAAATTTAGTACTCATTTCAAAAGCCACTCACTCGTGAACTCATAGCTGAGTGGTAATCAACAAACTAAGGTGCTAGGTAAGTACTGACCCATGACTAAGTGATTTCATGCCTGATTCAGTGTTGATAGAAATAATGGGTATCAAAGACTTTAGACCTTACCTCCATACTAAATTTATTTAACCGCTCAGCTGCTCACTGACAAGGCGGTTGTCTATGATAGTACTAGAGATTATTTACTATTTGTTACGAGAGTTATTTATCGAGCACAATAAGCTCAGGCATGCAGGCAGGCAGATGAAGTTTTAGTACAAGAGTACCATATAAAAGGCTACTGCTTGGCTTGCAATTAACCAAAAGAGCCAGATTGTATGAAAATATAATGAAATGTGAATGCTTCTTAAACGGAGATTGTAATAAGATTACACAAGTACTTATGAGCCGTTTATGTTGAAAATGGCATAAGTCATTTCATGCCATTTGACTTCGGTGCACATTTACTTGTAACTGAACGCGTCTGCTATTCGTTCAACTTCATCAGCGTAAACGGTTTTGTCATTACTCTTTGACGGTAGAACCACTTATAGATGCATTTAGTTAGAAGTAACCACCCAGTGAGGAGAAAAAAAAAATGTCCACAATTTTTTGCTTTTTTAATTTGCAAAGCTAAAATAAGTGGTAACGTTTACGAACAACAAATAGTAGGCAATTTAAGGCATCTATAATAAAATAAAATGCTTCGTAACTTTTCAAATTTTTTCGCGACTATTTAACACTAGAAAGACGAACAGGATCGTTTGCCCCATTTTCATATTTGACTGCCAGTATTACTTTACCAGTTATATTTTTAAATTGGGTTTTTTGTTATTAAAATAAAAATATGAAAATTAAAGTTGAATTTTTATTTTATTTTTTGAATAAATAAACAGTCTATGATTTAAAATTATACGTTTTTTCTTGCCAAAAATTAACTTTTCAGTGTTTTTGGAGCGCTTCATGATTTTTTACGGCTTATTCGGGAACTAAGGGAACCTTTGTGGATTTTTTGAGGCTTAAAGGGATGGTTCGGGCTCTAATTTTCGGTAGTTTCGGTTTTTTTTCGTTATTTTTTGGGATTTTTTTTCAGAATTTTTCGAGATTCCTTATATAGTCCAAACACTAAAGGCAGAGTCACTGTTCATATTAGGGCAACTTTTTATTACGGAAATATGATTCACCGGTATGAAAATTTAACGATTCAAAGTTTTAGGACCACTCTTTTATGGCTTGAAATCCAACACTTTTTTATAAACCATATATCGTTTTCTTTTTCGTGATCAGAATGAAAATTTACTACCAAGAAAAAACAGATTATGAAAATTAATAAATGAAATCGAAATTTTTCGCACATGTTTATTTTGTATGTAGTATGTATGTACATATGTATGTACATCGGTGTGTATGTTGATATAATACTAAATTTTAAGCAATAATTCGACAGGAATACTTTATTGCTATTTATTGATTTTCATTTCAGCTCAAAACCGAACATTCATATACATAGGTACACATTTGAGCACATCTATGATGCTACATATGTACATTTCTATCATATACATATCTTATTTATTCATTCACAACACGCACTCTCAAATACCATTCAATTTGTTTGAGTACAATAATTGTAGAATAATAGACACTGTTCTAAGCGTATTTTTTTTTTTTTTAATTTTTTAGCAAGCGTCAACAGGCTCTCCTCAACAGCACTCCCACTCCAATCACCCCGCATAGTGACACCATAGAGACGCAATAATGTTTGTTCATAGTACGTAAGTGTGTGTGTACGAAAACTATAGGCGTCACTGTAATAAGTCAACGCCAATGCGATATAGGGACAACCTGTGCCACTGCCATTGTCACTGACAACGATACCGCCGCCATCGACAGCAACACCAACACCAACATCGACAAGGCGCTTGAAGAGTCGCACGCATTTGCGCATGCGCATGCCAAACATACTAATTTCGTTGTATGGATTTGCTGCTTTTTTTAAGCTGGCTTTATACTTTGGTTCCGCTTGAATGTTCGTACATACTTATGAACATGTATATACAGTATTCACACATGGAATAATGACCGATGTTTGTTTTGTTTAATAAATATGTATCTAGCTTTGATTTAAAATTTTGGTTATTTGGTTAAAATTTTGCTGATATTTTGCGGAATTTTTATAATTTTGCACAAAGCATAAAATTTGGGTTTGAAAAATATGTAATAAAAAATCCGCAAAGTGGCATTTAAATTTTCAACTTTTTAAACAGAGTTTTCACAATCTTCAGTTCACAGTTTTATAGCCCATTAAATTCTAGCATAATAAAATGCTACGAAATTGCGTAGGTTTTTGGAATTTTTTCAAAGCATTTTCTTCCACACAAAGTACATTCGAGTTTTGTTTATGAACAAAGGCGTGATAGAGTCGGAAATCATTTATCAAATGTCAGTGCGATTTTTCAGCAACTTAAAATTTGCTCTTAAATATACAAGAATTTAATGGGCTATAAAACTACTTAGTCAAAATTCTGAAACATCTGCAACTTTGAAAATTTAGATGTAACTTGGCGGATTTTTTATAAATTTTTAAATCTAAATGAAAACTCTGTAAAGCAAAATTCCAAACTAAACAAACAAAATTTGAAATGAAAACCTAGCTATTCATTAAACAAATCTATCGGTCATAATTCAATGAGCAGATACTGTATGTACGTACAATGGCGGCCAAACAAATAGGAACGGGACATTTTAACAAGCACAAGAGCCGAAACTTATTAAAATGTCGCGTGCCTATTTATTTTCCCGCCACTGTATACATACATACCCTGCCAGAAATTGGAGGATAATTTTATCGCTCATTTCACAAAAGCAAAAAAACACTTCTATCGTTTTCCTATCTTCTTAACAGGTTTACGCACGATTATTATTACGCTTTGCTGCTTCGAAAGTTAACCACATCTCTGGAAGTTTTTTCAATTTTAATAAATTTAATTATTAAGCTGAGGTGTTAATTGATTTATTATCTTAATGCCCATTTACTGTACATTTCTCAAACTGTTTTTTTTTTTTTGCTTCTTAGTATTTAGTTTAAATTTCGAGAAATGTGTGTGCATTTGAGCCTGTAATCTAACGGAAAACAGAATGATGAAAATATGAAAATTTCGTAAGTAACTCAGCGGCTGTGATTGCAAGTTCAAAGGTATCCCGAATTTCCCCTAAACCTTAATAAAAAAAAATATTTAACTTTCCAAAGAATCTTCTTTAACACTTCTGGCCTTATCAGACAAGTTACTTTCAGTCCTATCTAAATAGTTTCTCCCGACAGCGAATAAGAATTCGAAAAAACATCGACATAAGCGGCGATGATTTGCACAGAAATGTCGTAACGAATTACTGACTTCCGCGATAGAATATGCTGACAGGGATGCATGATGCGTTCAAATGTATGCCGACATTTAAGTTTGTTTGTATGTATATATGTGTGTAAGTAATGCGCGGTCATCCCAAATCGATACCAATCGCGCAAAAAATCAATATGCAAAAAGGCAAACCGATTGGCGTGCATATTGTGAATAATCAATTTGATCGACTCATTCAGTTGACGTGCGTGTTAGCTGCTTGCTTTGCTATATTTTTTTATTCTTTGAAAATAATTTTTCATACTACATATGCACATAAATATACATATGTATGTATAAATTTAATTTTTGTTTTTTTTTTTTAATTTTTAATATTCCACTTATGGTCTGCAAAACTTGGAATAATTCATAAGTTTTCTCTTACTTTGTTAACCATACGTGATCTTAATTCTCACAAAAAAACAGCAAAATAAAGAGCATACTTCAGGTTCTAGAATCCATATAGATACGAGTACTTACAAGGGAATTAAGTAGCTAGGTATGCATGCAATATTGTATATATGTATGTCGGTAAATTACAAAAGCTCAATTGACTAAGCTACGTAGCTAAGCGGCATGCCAATACATAGTATGTACACACATACATACATATCTGACACAAAGGCACGCAATACCCACGCCCGCGCACCATTCTACTGGTACTACTTCCTCAATTCATTATTGTGGTCAAGTAGGAAGTTAAAATATTCTTTTGGAGGGTTTTTCTTGTTATTGCCATTGTTATTTGTATTTATTTTTGAGTTACCAGTCTATTGAAACACTCAAAACTAGTTATTGCCGCAATCGGTGGTGCCGACATGAGTGCTATTTATCTAACAGACAAGAATAATTAAGGAATAAGAATATTCCAAGCCCTTTGTATTGATGAAGAATCATTAATTACAGTTATATGCTACGATGTATGTACATTACTTCCGATGGATATATGTATGTACATATGTATGTATGTATGTAACAAGAAAATTTTAGAAATTCTATTTATGAAATATGAAGTCATGATTATGTCAAGTTTGTATTATTTTTCTTACATATTGCTTATTCAATAATTCTACATAGTGCTTTTTAACAAACAAAAACATGACAAACGAATAAAAATCGCCAAATATATAAACAAAATTTTTTTTTATTTTAAGCGTTCTAGGGTTAAAAAGTAGGGATTTTATTCCTATGAAATCACGGAAGCAAAAATTGGTTTTTCTTTTCTCAAATACCCTAACCTAACCTAACCTAACCTAATGCCACTGGTATTTTTTAATGACCAAAATAATTTTTAAAAATGTGGTCATTTAATGCTTTGTGGAAATTCAGCATTAGACGGCTTTAAATATTGAATAGCATCAAAAACGAATTCTTTATTGCCAAACCTTCTAGTCTCCTAATAGATAAGGAAAAGGTTAAAATGTTAGGCCTCACCCTTAAAAATTTTCTAAATGAAAAAAATGAATGAAAATTATTGAAACACATTCATATGTATCCATAAACTCGCTGAGTCGTGGCTGGTAAAAGTCACAATTTTTTAGAACTTTTGCAATTTAAAAAAATAAGTTCATCCAACCCTTGGTTAGCAGATTGTCCTTCGTGTTACCACATTCGGAACTGCGCCCAGTAGTTAATCGATAAAACGCCTCCAACCGATTACGTAATTACGAATTCGGCTAATCTCAATGCTCCAGAGCTCTTCGAGGCTACTATTAACGATGTGAGAGCCAAAGTAATTCCCCGACCTTAGCCTCGCATACGCTGGGCTCCTAAGAAGCAAGTGTTGAGGTGATTCCACCTCGTCATCTTCCAGGCAACTGCGACATCCGGGATCAGGTAATATGTTCAGCATACAAAAGTGAAAGCTGTGGCTTTGTAAGTGCGAGGAGTGCTCTCGATACTGATACTTAGTACTGATTTAAAACTCCCGACAGAAGACCAACCCTATCGTCCAGTTTTGATCCATCCTTGAAGAAGTTCACTGCTCCCCCTGTCAATGTGAGAGTTCAACTCTTGGTAGCGACCACTATTTTTTCCTCCATGATAGTGATATTTTAAGGACCACCTTAATATATACACAACATACGAAATATTTTACTTGTTCCAACCATCTCACCAGGATGCTCTGATAGATTTACCTACTTTGCCTATGGTAGCTTCAAATAGGTCTGCTAGTTATGCTGTCATGATTCCTTTGCTTTCTGATATTTTGTACCTAAAACAAGCAAGGCCTGACCAGTAAATTGTAGACGTAGAGGAGGGAAGTACTAAGCTTGCCACATGTTTGCCTAAGGACCAGTGGCCTACTAAAGTTGCTACACATCTGAATATACTTTATCTCGAAATGTTCATCAATATTTGCATACGCTACTATTCAGTCAGAGATAAGATATTAAACAATCTGCCGGTCGTGTACCAAAGGACTAACAACTAGCCTAGCAATGTAGTCTTCCTTTGTAAGTGTAAGGCCATAGCATTCAGATTAAAGTTTCAAAAAGTAAGAAGTCTCGGCTTCAACTATGTATTTACATGCATTTCTAAGTCACTAGCTATGCAAAAAAACTTACTTGCTATTTACTTATGCACTATGCAATTTCAACATACATACATACATACATGCATGCATATGTACATATCTATGACTGCACTACTACTAAGTCACGCCAATATATGTATGCACTTAGAACAAGACCCAAAGGTGCAGCCTACATATTTGCAAACTGGCATAAAATACATAAATATGCATGCATTAGCGCTAGTAAATGTATTGCGGTCAGACATCGGTCAAAATTTTCTAAATACAAAGCAACGAAACATTATTATAAAATTTTCTGTGTTAATGAAATTCTAAATAAAAGTACGTATGTATGATGCATGCAATTTAATGCAATTTTGCAGTATAACACTCAGGATCAGTAAGTAGTGCAGTCTTCTATGGAAAAAACATGTGAGCCATAAATGCATTATGCATTATTCGTACGACATACATATGCATTCATAACTTTCAGAAACGTAATGGTAATTTGAAATGGCGCATTAGAAATTGCATTTTGAAACCGTTTTATTATCGTGATTTTTGCTCTACTTTTGTTTCGTTTCTTTTCTGTAATCTAATTTGAATTGGAAAAGGCTGAGTTGTAAAATTAAATTTTGCAATTTATGTATTAATTTTTTGTGGCATACATACATATATACGAATAAAAACCGACGTGCATTCTTAAATAATTTTTACATTACAATTTTTGTTTTTCTGGAATGCAAAAATAAATATATGTCAATCAGAATATTTAGATTGTCAAATGAGAGTGTGAACAAATGAAAATACAATAACAATGCACGAAATAATTATAAGACCAAAATTGAGGCTCATTAATAACATGGTTTTCAGAGCAGAAAACGCCTTTATCTGGCAACACTAGCGTATCACACAACTACATATATCTATAGTGAGTTAACTCAAAAATCCGATCCCATGAAGAAAAAAATATTTGCATTTATTGTAGGCAAGTTCTATGGATTTCTTTATGAAAAGAAATCGTACAATATTTTTTTTTAATTTATCGCTCTTTAGATCTTATGTGCGATATGCACATGCCGAATTAACAGCAATAAGGGGGACCGGCTGTAATAGAGGCGAAATTTCTCTACAATCCAAGCAGCAATTATGTAAATCCTCACAGTGCGAGAAACTCATCAGAAGAACCTTAAAGAGCTTGCCACGAAAGTTAGCTTTAACGTGGTATGGGTACCCGGGCATAGTGCAATACCGGGAAACAGCGCGGCAGAAATGCTTGCAAGGGTAGAAACTCAATTAATTCTGCACAAGATGCAGGCGTCCCACTTTCTTCATTCAACCATCGACTGAAATCTATTTTGAAAGAAAGAACCAACATGTTGCGTTACTAAACAGATCTGGTCATATATTAATGAGAAAATAACCAAAAATTATTAGCATATTTGTCGTTATCATTACAGGATACGGTTTAGCCGGACGGTGTTTAGCTGAGCTCGAGTCTGTGGACATCCGCGACCTTCAACCATAGGTTATACGATGGTTCTATCAAACGAGAAACTAAGGGAAAGGAAGAAGAGCTCGTAAATAGTGGCATCACATTGTCTCTCTGTCGTAATGTGCGGAGTAGCAACCGCCGCAATCTAAACTAATCTAGAATTTGATACATCTATCAATTCAGAAATTAATTTTGTTTTATATTTGGACTTGGCATTTGACTAATTAAAAATAGCGCAACTAAAGAGCTAAAACTCGTCTATCTCTTTATATTAAATACAATTCTAATGGTTTTTACGGTCTTTGCCAAATGCTAGTGTTTGGTTTTATAAATATTTTGCACTGAAGTGCAAATGGTCACGTGGCGCAGAACTAATACAACAACATTAATGGCATATATGTATGTAGTACCGCTATAAAATACAGACTGATCATATGGCATTGTTGACAGTGAATGATATCATCTGGTTGCTTACTATGAAAACTGTGTTGTTAGCGAAGTCTTAATTTTGGTCTTATAATAATTTCCTAATGGTACTTACTTATTCATTCCCTCCTAGCGTAACGCTATGTGTGCATTTATTTAAGTGAACCATTTTATTATACACATTTAATAAGAGGTTTTAATTAAAGTAAAAATATTGGGAAAGGTAATGGGTATCAGTAAAAAAAAAATTGCTGAGCATAGACGCTTAACTTCATTGGTTTTGAGTAGAAATGAAGTATGTAGTACGGTCTTCTTTTCGATTGAGTGTTAGTTTGAAAGTAAGTATTTGATAAGTTACATAATATAAAGTTCTTCTCAAACTCTATGTATATTTTCACAAGCAATCAAAGTGCCGCTTGTTACTTAACCTATAAAATAGGCCAAAGCCGCGTTTTTCCCACTCTTAGTTTAGGTTATTAAACACTCCCCAGCCTATAGAGAATTGATAAAAAAAACTGATGATTTGTATTGTAAATTGTGATCTTCTAGCTAAAAAAATTTAATTCTGACATCAAAAAAAATAATTATCTTTAAAAATATGTACAAAAATTAATTTTTTTTTTCTATTTGTTAAAAAAATATATTAATCTCATCATTCTTCATAAAAAATAAAAATTTAATTGTTATATTTCAAAATTTATTTTCTACAAAAATTGTTTTTCGATGACGAAAAAATGTTGGCCAAAAAAAAATTTTTTTCTAAAAATAAATTATTATTTTTAATTTTAAATAGTGAGTTTAATAAATTTATCTTTCTTACACCAATTGAAAGAAATGAATATACTAGATATACATTTTTTAATACATTTTCTAAAAAAATATTTATGGTATCTATATACTTAATTAATTAATTTTCTAAAAAATTATTTTTTTCAAAAATTTTGAAATCCATTCAGAAGTCATGTTCTACAGTTTTTTGAATTTAAAAATTAATTAATAATTATCGCTAATTGTAATATTGTGTTTTCACGTGCAGGGCATCCTAAATCAATATTCAAAGAAATCAATACAGGCGTTTCCAAGTAGGTAACAAATTTTCCAGATTTTTTAATGACATGACATATTTCTAAATTTGCATATTGTTGCCATTATTGCTTTCAAAGCAAAAGTAAACAACCCCAGAACTTTGCTACACACAACAAAATAATAATTATTTGTGAGGATGCTTATTTTGACCCACTGTCATTTTTGAATTAACATGA